GATGCCCTTGAGATTTGGGGGTTGTTTCTTGTGGCAGCTAGGATTAATCATCCTGACGAATGAGCCGCTTTCTAATGAGCCGGGGCTCTCTGGCCAGCCTCTGTGGCTGGGGGCCCTCCAGATCCCTCCTTGGCCTCGCTCAACTCCACAGCTGGAGTTCATGTCTGAATGATTTCCTCATTCAACAGCCTAATTTTGAAAGCACAGAGAGGAGGGGAAAGTCAGATGCTAGCCACCACCGAGCATCTAACGCGGACCAGCTCCTAAGTTCGGTACTTGCTGGTGTATCTGTGACCCTTACAGCCACCCCGCCCACTTGACAGATGAAACGCCCGAGGCACTGGAAGGCTAATTAACTTTCCCAAGGCCGTGCAGCTCAAGCAAACCAAGTCTGGCTTCCAACCCAGGTGTACCTCGTTCTAAAACACCTTCTCAAAGCGCTCTGCTGCCTCCGTGTTAGAGCCCCAACGCTTCTGGTGCGCTCCAAAGCCGGCCCAGGACTGGTGTCTCTAACAGCCCCAGAGCGAAGCTGGCCACGTTTGGGCAACTGATGCAAAATCTGGGCAGCGTCCAAGGAGTGGGCTTTGCCCCCTAGGAAGGAAGCTTCTCACCAGAGCTGGAAGAGCCTCATCACAAATTGAATGAGAACTCAGCTCCAGGCATAAAGCTCTGGCTTCGAGCAGGGACTTTCCAGCCAGACTCTCAGCAAACACACCGTGTCAGACACCGGGGAACACAAGCCAGCCAAGTGGCAGCTCCCCAGGAAAAGACACAAGGCAGGCAAGGTGAGGGGCCCACAGAAGGAAGCTTCCCAGGGCCCCCTCACTGTCTCATTCAAACCAGCTCGCGAAGATTGAGAGCCTTGAGTCTGGCATGGCACCAGTGCAGGGGACCCCCACAGAGAGCGATGCCGTCACCTCTGCCCCGTGAGCTAATAAGCCGGCCACCTGTAGCCATGACCTTCATCCTCTGCGCGCTCTGTCTCTCTCGGGTGCGGGGGCAGGGCAGCCACTCAGGAGCTCAAGAGGAAAACCAGGGAGTCACCTAGGACTCCTTCTGCCCATTTTCCTTCATGCCCTACACCGGCCGTCCCCTAGGAGTTCCCTCTTCCTAACGTTTCCGGAGACCCTTGTGCCACCATGTCCCTAGGGTGGTGTGGCCCCCAGCATGGGGCACGGACATTCCCACAGTGCCTGCAGCAGCTCCCTAGATGGTCCTCTGGTGCCAGGAATCCTTTGTTCGGGGACCGTCTTGCGCATCGTAAGGCGCTCATCGGCACCCAGGCCTCTGCCCATCCAATGCCGAGCACACGCTCCCAACCGTGCCAGTCAAGGCCATCTCCGGACGCTGCCGGCTGTCTCCCGGCAGGGCAGGATGGCCCCAGCTGAGAAGCACTGCTCTGTACCTTTGCCCATGAAGGGCCCTTCTTTCCTCTCATTCCTGTCTGGCCTTCCCCTCACCACGTTAACCTCTGCTGCAGCCGCATCACCTCCCAGAAACCTCCCTGGCTCCGTCAGGCCGGTGGAGGGCAGCTTCCATGCGCACACTGCTGCCCCTGCTCCGTCACACAGCGGCGGACTGACCCACGGATGTGCCGTCACCCCATCTGCAAGACGGGCTCCTCGGAATCCCCGCGGAGGCACGGGAGCACTGGCCGCGGGTCCCTGGGTAAGCACAACAGGGCAGCGCGCAGAGATCCCCCCAAGTAGCTGTGGTAGCGTCTGACCAGACGCAAGGGGCTGCGCGCAGCCAAGGTGTCTGGCTGAGGGACACAGAAGGGAAAACAACAACAGAGCAGGGTCTAGGTGGAGGGCCTTGCTGGAACAGCCTGAACAAAGGCTACAAGGTGTGGTCGGCGAGATGAGGCTGGGAATGATGTGGCCAGAGCCCAGGGTGGGGCTTGAGGGAGAGGTATCAGGAGAAGGGATTTTGAAGCAGAAGGAAACCAGGTCCTGAAGACCTTTGGAGGTCTTCTGCAGCCGCAGAGGTATCCAGCAGGATGTAAAATTTAGGGGGGAAAGATTTTATGGTCAAACAAGTTTGGGAAATGCTTTGTCTGCAAACAGCTTTCTCTACTGCAGGACTTCTCAGAGCCTTCAGTAAGCTCACATGCCAGGTGAATCTTTACAAGCACATCATGTCCCCCACACGGAACTGACTACAGAGCCTCTCAAACGATCAGTATCCTTCGGCCTGCCCTTTGGAAATGCTGCTTGGAGCTGAGACACGGGAGCTGTGACGTAAATAAGAGCTCAAGGTAAGGACAATCTGGGTTTGGGGACAACGGCTCTGGGAGTTCTTCAAAGACCTCAGGGCCAACACTGGGGCCCAGCCACTAGCTCGAACCCTCTCCCAGACCCTGGCTCCCCAGCCGTGGAGCGTCTGCAGCACTGAGAGGTGAAAACAGCTCCGGAGCCATCGTCTACAGGAAGGCCTGGGAGGCAATGAGAAATTTATTGTAGGAAAACAGTCACCCCGCGGGACTGCTTCGACCACCTCCCCCAGGCCCCTGGGCCACAACATATGGTGTGGTTTAAATTTTTTAAATTGAGGAGTACTTAAGGAAAAAATGTTGGCAGGCCTGGAGGCACTTGTAAAACCGTCTGAGGTGATGGAGAGCCTGGGCCGCATCCCTCCAGGAGATGGAGGCAGCGCCGAGCAGGGGCAGGGAGGCCCAGAGAGCCGGACGGGGGTCGCCAGGTTTCTGGGTGAGGCTGGCCAGGCAGGGAGACAGTGTAACGGCCCCCTGCAGCGGCCCCTGGGTGGGCCGAAGGCGCCAACAAGGCTGGACAAAGGAACCACGTCATCCTCACTGTGGACCACAGCCGGGCCGGGGGCAGCAGGAAGGCAGTGAGGGACCAGGTGTGGGAATCGGGGCACCACGGGGTTAGGGCAGGGGAGGCTCAAGTCCAGGCTGCAGAACTTGGGACAGTGACAGCCCCTCTGGAGCGGGCCAGCCGGTGTGCCCAGGGCGGCTCCTGGCCCTGACCAGCATCTGGGGCTTTTCTGAAATGTGCAGAAGGACTGGGACTGCCTAGCACGTGCAGAGAAGCGTACGCTTACGAAGGAAGTAGAAGCAGAGAGACACCAAGGAGAAGCAGCGTGAGGACAAGTCCGGGGGTGGCTTGGGCAGAGCGGGAAACAGTGACAGGCGACCTCTCTGGGTGTGAGGCTGAACGGGCAGCCCTGAAGGCCCTGGCCGCCTGCAGATGCTGGAGATGAGCACAGCTGCTCCAGAAGAGACCCGGTGTGGCCCAGGAGACTCCAGGGTAGGGGCGACCCCAGATGCTCAGGGCCCCCTTGGCCTCCATAACCCTCGAGGGGGCAGCGAGGGTGTGGGGGGGACCAGACCTACCAAGGACCCCTGGAACCCTTGCTGAAAACATCAAGGTGGGAGTTACAGTCCTCAAGGGATTTCCATGTTACATCGATAAAACATACAAATCTGTAGAGATGGTCTGTATGCGTGGGGGAGAGGAGGCCTGATGTTAAACTCTGAAGGAGTTACCGTGAGTGTAAAGGCGTTAGGTCACCCTGGATGCCCTTGCTAGGGGGTCAGGCGCTGTCAGAAACCCCCACAGCCTGCAGGAGCTGCCGTACGTGACCCAGATTCCTTGTGTCCACAACCCTGTCTCCGAGCAGTGGCAGCAGACCTCTGTGACTGCATTCTGCCTCAGTGCCACTGTGAAGGGACCCAGCCAGGTGACAGCACCCCCAAGAAGGCAGACTGGCAGGGCAGGGGCTGCCTTTTATCCCAGGGCTCAATGTCACGTCCAGGGGGTCTCTACACCCCGTTGGCAACACCTCTCTCTCTGACCAAAGCGTCTCTCATCTTCCTCATTGGTTGGTTCTTATCTTGGGACTCACTTGTCATTCCCTCAGTGTAGGCTTGGAGAGAACAGTCTGTGAAGTCTGTTTGCAGGGACCCAGTGACATTATCTTGTCAAGCCTCCCCCCATTTTATAGTAGAGAACGCTGAGGCCCGGGGAGATGAAGACCAAGATCACGTGGTAAATTAGGGGTGAAGCCATTTCCTGACCCACATGCCTGTGTGTTGCCACCCCCTGCCACACTCTGTGAGGATGGACCGACAGGATCCTGTCACAGTGGCTGTGGTAGCCCCAGTTCCCTGGCAGCCTGGGACAGAGGGCATGCCCAGATGCTGGGTAAGGACAGAGCCACCGCTGGTTCACAGGGGTCCAGGACATACCCAGATGCAGGTCACATCTCAGGCTCCTAAGGCCTCTAGGAGATAGGTCTGGCAGGGGGGACCACTTTTAAGAAACAGAAACTGAGGGCCAGGGAGGGAACATGACTTAATTGTGTGGGTAGAACAGGTGGGACTAGAACCCCAGGCTCCCGAGGCCAAGTTGTGAACTGGACGGAGACCACGTTTGTCTGCCAGGTTGGAGATGAGAAGGAACAGGCTTCAGAAAAGCAAGGTCTCCAGGCCCCGGGGGGTGGCGCTCACTCTCTGCCTTCAGCACTGGGGTGGGTGTGCCCCTGAAGTCGGGTCCTGGTGGCCCTCGCCCTTCAGGAGACTGCAGCACGCGCTCCCAGTACTCTGCATTCTGTGTGTATCAACCACTGCTGCCCCCACCGGCACAGCCTCAGCCACTTCCTCTCCCTCTTGATCACCCCCAGACCCTGCCGCTCTGCACCAACCTCTCCAAACCGCCCCTGCTGTGCCCCTTCTTTCGGCCGGGCCGCCCCGGTCCAGCTACAGACACTTGGGTGTGGGCCATGGGCAGCGTAAGGGTCCTGGAGGGCCTGGGCCCCAGCAAGCAGGCCTCCCCACCTCACCCCGGGCGCGGCCTGGCCCACCTGCCTTGGCCTTGCCCGTCCGGGGCACTCTCTAAGGGAGGATGAGAACGCTGGATCTCTGGAAACCAAGAGCAGCCTCTAGCTCTCTCCAGGGGCTTTACAGCTCCGCATACGGCCTGGCTAGGATCTGGGGCCCATATTCCTCCCACTGTGGGGTTTGGGTGGTGGCCTCTTACCTTTGGAGTGAGGTACTTGGTCATAACTTCCTTCCCTTTTTCCCCCAGTTTTTCATCTGGAGTAACTTCATATTCTGCCTGAAACAGAAGAAGGAGAAGAATAATAACAGATCTGCTCCTGGGCTGCTTCTAGTTACACAGCTTCATGGCCCCTGGAGAGGACACCATGGAAGTCAAGTGACCACTCCCTCCCCCACAGAGCAGGAAGCTGAGGCCCAGACTGGGGAGAAGACCTGGCCAAGGAGCCCCAACGTTCAAGGCCAGCCTACTTACTCCACACCATCCGGGGACACGTGCTCATTAGCACAGGCGCTCTCCTCTCCGGCTGCCCGTGAGGCTCACTGAAGCAAACACCGGTGCTCGGGCCCCACCCCACAGACTCCGACCCTCTGGCCAGGAGGGCAGGGCTCTGGGCAGCTGGGTTGAGAACCACTGACTCCGCTAAATCACAGGAAGCCACTGGAAAATAACGACCCACCAAACTACAAGGTCCCTGAGAGGCTGCCTCGGGTCACTCAGACCTCACGGCTTCATGACCTTAGATGATTTCCTTCACCTCCATAAAGCACAGACTGAAGAAGGCCCCGCTACAGGGCAACTGTGCAGACAGAGTGTGACAGCGCTCTCAGCCCGGAGCCAGGCACATAGTAACACTCGATGAACAGTTGCCCGATTACCACCCTTGTCATTATTGTGCCTTGCAAGACAAAACGCTACTAAGGATGCCTCACCTTTTGCAGCTTTTCAGCTTATAAAAAGAACATACAGAAATTTTTCAGATGTTCAGAGGGTGCACACACACACAGAGGGAGAAAGCGAGGCAGACTCCCCGCTGAGCAGGGAGCCGGATGCGGGGCTTGATCCAGGACCCCGGGATCACGACCTGAGCCGAAGACAGACGCTTAACCGACTGAGCCACCCAGGTGCCCCTTTTCAGATATTCTTATCTGAACCTCAAAAAAGCACAGGCAATGATTCGGGAGGGTCGGGTCTCCCACTATACCCCTCCGTCTGCATATGACGAGCAGGGGGCTCCGCAGACTTGGCCAGAGTCACGCAGAGGAAAAGCCGAGCTGAGGCTTCCGTCTCCAAACTGGAGCTCGTTCTCAACAACTCCAAGGAACTTAGGACTCCAGATCGCTGGCCACGTCAGCAGGACCTCCAGAAGACAAAACTTTTTATTTTCTTTGACCGTAAGAGGGGCTCCTTCACTCACATCTGATGTCCTTGCCAAGAGGATAAAAGGCCTCAAGTTAGCAAGAAGCCTGGGTAAGCCTGCCTTTCTCATTTAGACAAGAGAACTAATTGCAAATTGTTTATAACCATTTCAAAATCCACCACCCAAGGATTTGTCCACCTCGGTCCAAAAGTGTAGCTATTTCAAAAGAGAGAGGAAATGACATCAACACAGGCTGAAACACCGTGAAGGTAGGTACCCGGCCCTCCAGCCCCAGCTCACGGCAACCCCACAACCCGGTGTCTAGGGTCCAATCTCCCCCAGGCCAGTCCAGGAGCCCCTCCAGGAAGGCAGCACGTGGAGCGCCTGCAGCTGCGGTCAAGCACGTTTCCATCCAACAGCAGTGAGTTTTTCCTGTGTTACCATTTCTCTTCTAATAGAGAATCAAGACTCAGTGATAGTTCTCCAAAGAAAAATGTTAACGCTTCAGTCATTTGGCTCACAGAGCTATGGGAAAGCCATTCTGGAAAGAATCCAACCCCCTCAACTTACAGAGCTGGACACCAAGGCTCAGAGAAGCCAAGATTGGGCCCAACACCACACAGCTGGTGGCGGCAGAGCCAGGAGAGGAGCACAAGCCTCCTGACTTCCACGGGCCACCTGCCTCAGTGTGTCGCCCGCCTAAGTGTGTCACCCGCCTCAGTGCCTCCACACCATTAAGACTAGCCTTGTGGGGCTGATCATTTCTTGCTGAATTGATTTGATTGATGATTTCCTGAGACTATTTAAGGGGAGAAGGTGGCTCTTCACCCTTGAGTTTTTCCTGTTATTTTTTCCCCAATGCTCCCCGACAATCCCCCCAAACTAACACACACGTGTGCACACCCAACACAGTATGGAGCCTCACCCTCAAGGTAGGTATTATTATTCCCAATTAACAGATAAAGAAATTGAGGCTCCGAGAGCACAAATAACCAATTCAAATGCAGCCAAGCGAGCACGTGAGAGGGCTGGAAGCTGTCTCCAGAGGGGCTCAGACTTCTACAGCACGACTGACCACTCTTTTTCTAGGGTGAGGAGAGAAGCACCTAGTGTCCTGCCACCGTGGAAACCCGCCTAGTGGTCTGGCACCATGGGAATCTACCCAGACTGCTTTGCAGGACCCAGACCCCGGGCAAATGGCCGACCACCTTTTGGGGTAACTCGATCCCATGCAGAACCCTGGATTTGCACTGTCCCAAAATACATCTGTGAAGGCGGCTCTATTTAACCAAATGGAGGCTTGAAGCTCATTAATCAGCCTCAATAACCAGCTGAAAATATTATTGCTCTGGGTACTAAAACCCACGTTAAAAAAATAACATCACTTTCAGGTCAGCTGCCTCCCAGCAGAGGCCCGGCTGGGCGGCTGGGCGCCACGGTTCCACAGGGAGGCAGCCGGGAGCACGCGGGGACAGGCATCCCCAGCCCAGGATCAAAAGGCCTTTCTTTGAGAGTCCATGTCAGGTCACCACCACTTGAAGAGCATTTGTGTTGGGAGGCAGAAAACCAACAGAAGGCTTCCAGCTGGGCTTTCCACACTGATTAAGTCACCTGGAGTGACAGGCCATGTCTCCACAGTGACCCCCGAGAGGCCTCCTATGGAGAGAAGGTGCCACGGTGGTTCAGCTGGGTGGGCAGAGCTCAGGCAGATCACGCCACCCGAGGCGGGGGACCACCCGGGAACACACTGCTAGGGGAACACCCTTGCTCAGGTAGTGGGCAAAAGCTGCTGAAATCAGCTGCGACCAGAAAACGTAAGCAGCAAATAAGAGGTTGGGCCAATAGCCCAGAATTTTACAATTAGCGTTGGCTTGGGAAATGGCAGCCAGACAAAGACTTCAATGGAAAGAGAGAAAACCACATGCAAGGAATCCCCCCACGGCCTCCATCAGTAAGGGAGTTCTCTCCAACCAGAGACGGTGCTAGGTCTTATCCTCGTCCCCCAACAGAGGGGACATGTGCCGTCCTCTCTGCTTTAAGGCCCATTTGAAACCTGGGAGCTCAGCCCTAACAGCCAGAGCACCAAAGACCACCTATGCCAATCCACTCGGAGGATCCCTCTCCTCCCCAGATGCGTCCGAGGTGCTCATTTCATGAGCCTCTCCTCGGACTGTGATTTACGCCAAATGCAGAAATGGCCTTTGGGGATGAGATGCTGTTATAACACAAAGAGCAAAACGCTACATTGAGTTTAAGGCAAAAAGAATTATTTCTAGACCTCTGCCCATCAAAGAGTATAAACATCGGTGTACATCCTAGTTTATAAGCCTAATATTTCACCCTCTTGGTCTGCTCTAATTTCATCATCAATCTCAGAAAATGTCGGTGAAAATATGTCCTCTCTATTAAAACACACTTCCCTCCGATGATTTTTAAAAACACGAAGACCACAGCCAGTGAAAGGGGACCTGCCACGTTTTCGAAACAGCCGGCCCCCGTTTGCAGAGCACAGTCACAGCCGGATTCCTTTCGGCCTCTGAATCACTCCAGAAGCCACCTCCTCCTCCTGGGAGACCTTCTCCGGCCCTGACAAGAAGATGAAGTCAGAGATGCTATGAGGTCTTGCCACCTCCGGCTTCTGTAATTACTGAATGTGGTCAGCTTTTCCAAAGTCCTCGCGGCAGGGACAAGTGACGCGCTTGGCTGGCAGTGCTGCTCAGCACGGCCCTTTCTGGAGAAACACCCAGCTCCACCCACACCGGCCTCGGCGCCTTGCCTGTGCTGCCCCTGCGGGCTGGAGGTCTCTGTCTGCCCCTCTAGAGTCACTCTCTACCCGGGTGTGGGGCAGGCGAGAATCAGGATGGGCAATTACCCCCCTGCCACCTGGGCATCATGGTTCCCTGCCCCCTCTTCTGAAGACCCAGCTTGCATACGCTGACCTGCGTCAGTCCCTCCCCTTGTCCCTGCGGACGCGGAGGCAGCAAAGGCTCCCACTTACTGCGTCAGTGCTACTGACTTCCCCATCCTGCTAAGCACTCCATCAACAGCCCTGCACTCGCTCGTGGACAGGCTGTCCATCTCCTGTCAGGACCCTGACTGAGCAATCCTTCAGATGGTTGGGCCCGGACCTTGCCCCCTCTCTGCTCCCCAGCTAGAATGAAGCAGCACTGCAGGGGGGCGCATCCCCCAGGAGTCCCAGGATCGGGTGGGTCTAGTCAGCCCCAAAGCTTGTATCTACCTTGGCAGACTATTTTCTGGTCTCTAGCTGGCATGAGGTGCCTGCATCAGGAACAGAGTCACTGGCCCCCCTCGGGTCAACAGATGGGATGGGACCAGAGAGAGGAGAGAGGGAGAAGCTGACCCCTGGCTATGTTGGAGTACAGCCTGAGAGTGGGAGGAGTGACTCCAGGGGGACCCCAGACCATACTGACAGCACCGCAGACACCAGCTTGTGCAACATAGCCTGGCTGGGGCAAAGGCTTAAAAGAAGGCAGGAGGAAAGGGGTGTCACACTTCTCCCTTGGGGGAGGTGACAAATCCACCAGCTGCTGTCAGAGTCCTTTGCAGAAGGGTCATGCTATCCCCTCTTGCCTGCCCCATCATACTCTCCCAAGAGCCTCAGCCCTGAGTGGCTCTTCCTCACCCTCTCCAACACCCCTGGACCCCCTAGCTCCTTCTCCTCATCCCCCAGCCCCAGAATTATTTCTCTGTCTTCACTCTCCAACAAGGCTCATAAGGCTGCCATGGACAGGCCTTTGACTCTCCCTGTTAGTCTTTCAGTTCTAAGTGAAAAGAATCCCATTCTAGCCTAGTTCAGGCAAAAAAGCGTTATCTCTTAGCTCTTAGAATTCAAGGATGGATTGAACAACCAAATTGTGGGAGAAATGAAATGCAGCCAGGCCCCAATTATCAGGAACCA